AGAGAGAGAACAAAGGCACACATGCTTTCTGTGCTTCCATACAGCGCACTCTAAAATATAAATCCATCAATCTCCGCTTCCAAGGAGCCCGCTTGGTCTGCGCTAGCGTCACCACCGGCCGTGTTAACCTGTGGAACAGTGTTGCTGAGCACATCCTGCCCTCCATGCCCACAGATTTCACCACTGTGGGCCCAACCAAGGGCTGAAAATATGGAAAATAAAATTGTGTCTGTACTGAATGCAGTTTTTTAAATTATTCATACCCATTTACACAGTACAGTGGGCAAATCAGAAATGATTTAAAGTATATAGGAGCGTGTGCATAGATGCAAACACCACATCATTTTGTCTTTTTGTTTGTTTACTTGTTTTTTTTAGTGGGGGGTTGCACTGGGAATCAAACGCAGGACCTTGCACTTGCCAGGCAGGCTGTGCTACTGACTATATCCCTGCCCCCACCACATCATTTTAGAAAAGGGACTTAGGCACCCGTACAGGTCGGGGTTCCTGGGCCTCCTGAGACCTCCGCCTGTGCAGACGGCGGGATGACTGTGTTACCGGTTCAGAGGCCAGAGCCGGTCTGACAGGAGCGCTTTCCGTATTGCTGTAACCAACGCTTCGCTGTTTCTGTGGAGAGAGGCTGGCCGCACGTTTTGTGGCTTCTTGGGCTCCTCTGGGACAGTGCCTGTCTGCCTTCTTTCCACAGAGGAGGATCTCCTGCCTATTTAATTTATAGGCCACATGATCAGATTGGCAGAACTATTCTGAAATCTTTAGGCATAAGGAGTATGGTTTTACAAAGCCATCTAAAACATGTTTATAAACAAGAACCTGATGTCAGAAGGCCCTTCCTACCCAGTCTGGTTTTCTTGGTGACATTACGATAAAGGCAAAAGGTGCATTAAAAGCTTTGGATCTGTACAGAGGGGGTAAAATCTCACCCACAGACAGTTCCTGTCTAAGGAGGAACAGGCCAGATATAGATCAATAGATGCAGTAAAATGTTCTGCCTTGTTTCAACCAAGCTACTCTGTAAAGCACCAGTGTTCTCACAAGATGAACAGGAATCTATTTCTAAAATTTCTGCATTAAATATACAATTTACTCTATAGAATGAATATGTCCGGGGGACAATTCACTGAAAAGTGATGTGCTGACTTGCCCTCTTTTCCAGGATAAACTCCCGTAATCACCCGCCACGCCCTGGCGGGCAGATGCTGCAGACTTTGCTCCTGAGCTGGGGGGGTTAAAACTTGATGCCCGAACTCCTAGCCAGCAGTACAAGCGTTTGCTGTGGGGCGAAGCTTTTCATCCTGGTTAGTCCAGCTGCTTCTGACTCACCGGGAAAAGGAACAGGCAAGTGTACATGGCTGTAGTACTCCTAACATCAGCACCTAAATGCACTCTCAAGGACAGAACTCTGGTCCTTGGACAGACAGCTGGACTCAAAAGCGTGCAGCCGTCATCTGCGAGGCTAGGGGACGTTCACGTCCAGTCTCTGTACTGCAGGATGGACCAGCTTCCTGGCAGCAGAAAGATCAATCAAACATCTCACAAAGGAGGCTCAAAGTTCAGTAATGTGAGACCTTAATTTACAGTGGTCTCCAATTTATTGTTGTGTATTTTTAAACCATGCTATTTAAAGCACAGCTAATTTAAAAGCTAGTGCTGGTACTGCATGGTCACTGCTAAAGATTTATCAGATGCTAATAAGAAAAGTAACCTGTCTGTGGTCCCAGGGCCCCTGAAGAACCCAACCTCCAATACCTCTGTCTGTTGGGTGACAGATACTGGCTTTCTGATAGGTAGTTTGCTACTTCTTTGTCTTGTATTTGTTATTTGTTTGCACTGCAGTTTAAACATTACAGGAAAACATACAGCCTTACTGGGTCAATACAACCATGCGTTTTTTCAGAGGGACCTCTTGTCCCCGTGTGACACCCTTTGTACAGCTCTTTTTTTTTTTGGAAGGGGGCGTGTACCAGGAATCAAACTCATGACCTCAGGCTTGCCAGGCAAGCGCTTATGCTGCTGAGCTACATCCCCGGCCCTGTACGGCTCTTCGAAGTCCTCTGGAAGCAGGAGTTGTGGGCAATGAAACCGGAGCCTCCATCCAAGAGTGAAGAAACCAGCTTGCCCCAGACCCACAGCAGAGGCTGACAGTGTGGGCCTACTGTGTGTGTATGTGTGTGTGTGTGTGTGTGTGTGTGTGTGTCACTGTGCTCCTGGCTGGGGAGACCAAGCCCACCACCTGCAGTCCCCACAACTCTCTCACCCCACACCTGTACCACCGCCTGAGCGGGGAGGACATTGACAAACAGCCCTTTCATGGCTCTTGGTAAACACACGAGGCACATCAGCACTACTCATTATGTTTGACACAAAAAAAAACAAAATTCCACCCACGTTCATCATGCACTAGAGATGGTTAGTGTAAGACAATCTGCAAGACGGTCTAAGGCTACAGATGGTAGTACAAGCAAATGGCACACGTGCTTAAAGGAGATGTTACAGTTTTCTAAGAATCTGCAATGTAAGTAATTAGGGTAATCAAAGCAAACACACAGTTTCCCATATGCACCTTGACACCCAGCTAATGAGACCAAGGATTCCCAGCTTTAGGGATGTTCATAAAAATTTAAAACATCTCTGGTTCAATCAACCAACAAACACATTTTCTAAAGGCCTTGATGCCATGCCTAACATGGCAGACACTACGTAGGTAGGCACAGGAAGTCATAGCGGAACCACGAGCAGGCACTGAGGAGATCCTGCAGTGGGGACCAGAGGGCCATTTCACAGAGGTCAGACCGGCAGAGCAGGAGAGCGGGAGGTGAGGAGGTGTGGGTGGTGTGGAAGGGGCCGAGGCCCAGGCAGAGGGATGCTGTAAGCAGTGGTATGTGTGGAGCAGGACAGCTAAGCACAGAGGTAGCACCGGGCATCCAGGGGGAGAAAGTAGCCACGTGAAAGGCCCAGCGAAGTCACTACCCACCAGTCCTCCCCTCCTTCCAAGCAGCACATCCTTCTGGGTTTGGATCCTGGGTCCTGCGTCTTGGCCCCCCATCCACCCAGACCTCCTCCTAGGCTGGATCTCTACCCACAAACCAGGCGCAGGGAGGGCTCCCGGAAAGCTTAGGATGGGGTGGGAGCCTCATTTTCTCTTCTTTGGAGACTGGGGATGGGGTAGGAAGGAGGAAATTGGGCTTGGGTTTGAGAAGATTACTCCTGGGTAACTGCCTGGTTATTATTACAACGGTTGGGTTTTTTTTAATGCTCCTGGCTTAAACTGGTTTTCCCAGAAGCAAACCTTGGGACAGACTGCCCTGCAGGTTGTGTAGCTGAGACACCAGGGGCCCACCGTAGGGTGGGAACTGACACGGGGACAAAAAGTCGCCAGCAACGATGTGGGGTGATGAAGACCCTCCCATGCAGGCACGGGGACCGGGACAGGCAGCACAGTGCAGGAAAAGGGACAGGGGTCCTGCGGGGTTGGGTGGGTGATGTGGGGCTCCCACGGCGTTCACTTCCGTACTTGTAACCTGTCTGGAAATCTTACTTCGAACTCCGCATTACAGAACAAAACAAAGCGAAAATAAATAAATAAAAACAAAAGAAAACCAAAAAACTTTCCATTTAGAAAAAATAAAACACAACCAGATACTGTCCCAGTGCCAGGCTTTCGGAACGGAGAAGACCATGTTGGGATTCCGTGTGTGATCTGAGTACTTTCAAAGTGTGGTGACCTCAGCCAGAAACAAGGGTGAGTGGCACGTATGCAGTTTAAAGGAGCTGCATTCAAAGGCTGTTAATTTGGTTTAGGCCTCAGAAAGACAAGGAGCTTTATGAGTACTTGTGATAGCAGCAAACAGTAAACATGAGACATTGGGACCAAGTGTCTTACACAACCATGTTAATGGGAAACAGCCTGCATATAAGATTGTCCAGCGTGAGTATAAAATGCTTGGCAATAAAGCCTTACACAGGAGCAACAAAAACAAAGAAAGTGGCATCTATGGTGCAGACACGTGCACCTCGGGCGACTGGAAAAAACAAGCCAGCAGTCAGACGGCCCTTCCCTCTGTCCTCTGACTGCTCCTGTTTAAAGTCTATAGTGTTAGCGAGCAGGACAAGAGGTACTCACAGCAGCTTAAAGCAGTAAAGGAAATACTGTCACGGCTTCCATAAGGGAAAGGAGTGCTAACTGACAAGCCCTAGGGACACTTCTGACTAGTCCACAGTTTTAAACCTAAAACTAATAAAACAATTGGCCAGTGCATCTAAGACTGCACCCTGATTTAATGTAACTGTTTTATATGATCTATGTTTTCTTATCTGTTCATCTGTTTTTAATAACTGGTTGAAATACTCGTGCCAGCTTCAAAAAAAATTTTTTTGAGCTAAAAAAAAGTAATAACAAGTAATGGGAAATCTTCTAGAACTTACCGAAGAGGTGTAACCTACCAAGAAGGTACAGTGTGCACGTGTCCAAGCTCTTGTTCCCCATAATTCAAGGGCATCTAGGTAATCTTTGCAGCAAATGGGAACAGCACCTCTGCAGAATGGAAAAATACACAGGAAGTGGGGGAGCATGCATAGGAAGAATGGAAGGTCCCTCGAAAAGCCAGAGGTAGATGTGACTTTACGCAGGGAGCTGGCTTCTTGCAGGGCACAAAGGTTTTGGGAGGACTTTGGTAATCAAGGGTGAGACTGATGACCACAGTGAGAGCTACGGCGTTAATAATAAAGGGACCCATGACATAGGCAAATATATGTACAGATCATCGCCTCAACTTGAGCCTCAAAGGCCCAGACGTATTACTGCTTTCAGATTTATTTATGGATCAGTGTCCTCATGCGATAAAGACTTGGCTTGTAAGCTAAAAATACCGAAAGTCACAACGCATGACTGGGCTTTCTCTCCTTTCTTTACTGCACAAGCGATGTCAGCACAGGCCACCAGTCCAGGGCCAGCTCCTTACTCATCCAGCAGACAGGACGGAGGTGTCAGAGAGGAGCCGCCCGAAGCTCTGTGCTAATAAACCATGGCCTCAGCCCCTGTCAACTGCCAGCGAAGTCACCCAAGTGGGCTGGGAATGTAGCTCAGCGGCCTAAGTGCCTGCCTGGCAAGTGCAAGGTCCCGAGTTCGATTCCTGGTACCACGAAAAAAGTCATGCAAGTTTTACCAGAGGCCTCTTCCCCAAAGTGCCCCTCTCCACGGCTAACCTGACTTTGCTGCAGGCTGCTGCTATCTGGGCTCCATGGAGGGAAAATCCGAACCCCAGCTCCTGGCTGAGCCATTCCTGGTGTGGTTAATATCCTAAGAAAAGGTAGAGAAGTGCCTCAGCATCCTCTCCACTGAGGAGGAGCTGCCTGGTCTTCTGGGGAGGTTGGTCTTTCCTTTTCCTTCCTTCTTTTCTTCTTTATTTCCTCCCTTCCGTCCTTCCTTCCTCCCCGCCCCAGCAAAGGCCTGAGTGCCTGCTGCTTGCCAGGAGAGAAGGAGCCTGGGGTAGAAATGTCCCAGGCTGTGGGAAGTTGAGTGTGTGCTCTCCTCCAAGTCCAGCGTGGACAAGAGAGAGGAGTGGAGACCCCAGCTGGGCCAGAGTGGAGAGAGGAATGGAGACCCCAGTTGTGCCTCAAGTGGGCGCCCAGTGGGAGGCCCCACTGCCCAGGGACGCCAGACGGCACTGCACTACTGCGAAGGGGGAGGCGTCCAGAGGGCACGGAGAGGAGAGACCTCAGCACACCTGTCCTGCCACTCGCAGCCGAGGGCCGAGCGGACGGGCTCTGCACCCCAGCCAGAGCTCTGCGCTTTCATAGGTGACACATGCGGCCACTGAGGATTTCAAGCTGGGAGGGACAGGGAAGAGCGTGGCAGGGAGGGCACGCAGGCAGTGATCAAGAAGTCCCGGAGGCCGCCCGGTGGAGGTGCCTGCCCGGAGAGGCTGACGGGGCCTGTTCCTCCAGCAGGCTGGGCTGGGGGGTAGCTGGAGGATGGAGGTTCATCCCGTTCAGGCGGGCGGAGATGAAAAGGCTGGAGTCTCCGTGGGGCGGGGCGGGGGAAGGCACTCCCTCTCTGGGTGTGCAAACCGGTACAGTTTGGGGTTGGAAATGTGGCTTTCCCCGTCACGTTTAAAAAGACTGTTCATACACTTTTCCTAAGCAATTTCTACATAAAATCCTTGCACAACTCTGTGAGCATATACACGGTTATCTCCTACAGCTTTTTTTTCTTTTTTTTTTTCTTGAATATTAGGGGTCAAACCCAGGGCCTTCACACTGAGCTACATCCCTAGCCACTTTTTTATTTTTCATTTTGAGATGGGGTCTTGCCCGGGATATAGCTCAGTGGCACAGTGCCTTGCTTGGCAAGTGCAAGGTCCTGAGTTCGATTCCAGGTACCAAAAAACAAAAAGAGAGAGACAGGGTCTTGCAAAATCACTAAGCTGCCAGGCTGGGCTCAAACTTGTGATCCTCCTATTTCAACCTCCCAGAGTGCTGGGATTACAAGCGAGTGCCACCACCCCCCTTAGCACTTTTAATGGTCCGAAAGACATGTTTTTAAAAGGAAGCAATCAGATATTCACCATCAGTCACATAAATTATGCCACTAGAAAGAACGAAGGGCCCAGAATCCCACGTGCACACCGTATCGGGGAGGCGGCTAAGAAACAATTCCAGAGAGGGGCTTGAGGGTGACGTTTCTCCCCAGTCCCAGATGGTTTGGCGGTGGCCCTGGGGACTACAGTGCAAGCAGCTGGGACTCGGATGAGCAGCATGGAGAGAAACTCCTGTGAACAGAAAACGCAGAACAACGTATGTGTCCTATTACGGTAAAAAAAAAAAAATCAAGACCAGGTAATGTATGTTCAAGGTCCAGAGGATGTGTTTCTTTTTTTGTTTGTTTGTTTTTCTGGTACTGGGAATTGAACTCACGACCTTGCATCTGCCAGGCAGGCGCTGTGCCGCTGAGCTAAATCCCCAGCCCCTGGAGGATGTGTTTCTGGAGGAAGAGTTTATGATAGACTTCCCCTCTGTGGTGGATTAATCAACTTGTGACACCCAGCTGAATTGAGTCAGCCTGGTGCTGGGTGTGGAAAGCCCACCTGAGGGTTGTTACTAACAGCATGAAAGGAGAACTGGAGGGGGAGTGGCGCTGTTGATTCTCCTGGAGAAGCTTGTCACGCTGGTTCTCCTGATATGAACCCAGCTGTTATCATCAGAGGAGCTTGGGTCCTTGCTGTTGCTGAGGATGGCTTCGGTTCTTTTCAGTGGAGCTCTGGTCCTTACTTTGAGCATCATTTCCTAGCTCCACTGCAGATCCCTCAGCCTGCTGACACAGATCCTTTGTCTCGCTGGTGCAGACTTTCTAGCTTCCACCACTGACCTTTGGGTCTTCCCCGTGCAGATCCTTGATACAGACTTGAAGGAGACATTGTCGTGGGCTCTAGGTCTCCAGCTGGACTCGTGGAGGACACTTCCCATGGGCTCTAGGTCTTCAGTCTAACTCATGCAGGACATTGCTGTGGGATCCAGGCCCTTAGCTGGATTCTTTCGGTCTCTAGCGTGTAGGGAGATCTCTTGTACTCTTCTGCATTTGACTTTTTGGGTGAATTATAAAATAATCCTATAAAGTATGTGTCTTGTATTAAATCAATTCCCTTGCAAATCTTGACTACAACACCCTCCTTAAGTTTGACATAAACTGTAGGGTTTCAGTTTGTGTGGTAAGTATGAGTCACTTTTGTGAGTAAAAAAAAGAAAACCAACACTTTAAAACAGTCAGTCAATAAACTGACACATTAAAAGCAACAAACAAAAAAGTTTGTGAGCCTGAGTTAAAAGTCACACTTTAAATTACATATCGGAGTATTCTTGCCGGGTCACGGGCGCTATCATTTATGAATAGCTGTCTCAGCAGGGTCAGCCAGCAGCTCCTCCAGGCTGATGCACCCGCCTGACTGCTTGGAGCCCCAAGAGTCCCTTAATGTCACTGCCCACGCTGTACCCCATCCACCTGTGACTCCCAGTTCCCAGGGCACCCGGAGTGTGGCTCCTTGCTGTCCACACTGGCCCTGTCCACTTCACCCACCCACGTCTTGCATGCTCCCTCACCCAGCACTCTGGCCACCTGGCAGCTCGGACACTTGCCATAGGGCTGTTCTAGGTTGGCATTCCTCATCCTGCCAAAGAGGGGGCAAAGTCTCCTGCCTCCTCCCCAACCCCTTTCAGCCAGGACTGTGGAAATACTTCTTTTCCCTGAGACCATCCCAATCACTGAACCCCGGAGCTGCACGGCTCTGGGTTGGGGATGGGGAGGTCTGTAAAGCAGAGGAAGCAGAACCAGCCGCCCAGGCCTCCCTAACATGGTGGCTCCCCGACAAGTCTGGGAAGTTCTGGTATCACAGAAAAGGCGTCTGCACAAAGATCCAGCTGCTACTGCCCGCCAACCAATCACGCACTCTGGATCCAGCCACCTCTGAGAGAGCCCCACGTATGACCACGGGAGGCTCTGGGGGGACATCTAGACATGGCCAGAACAGAGCGGCTGGCCAGGGAAGGAACCCATTGATGGAACCGTGAGCCAAGGGAGCCTCAACTCCTTTAAGTTGGGGTGTCGGGTGTTTTGTTCATCAGCAGCAGTGCCCACCCCTAGCCTGGGGTCTGGGCCTGGGTGCGGTGGGAGAGGCCTCCTGGTTCCTGCCTCCACTCTCCCTCCAGCCTTCACACTCACCCCAGGCCACTCCCCTCAAACAGCACACGGCCCAGGGGCAGCAGGGCACCAGGGGCAGCTCCTGAGGGCTGAAGGCCTCCTGGGATGGCACACAAGGCCGAAAGGGTTTGGGGAGCCAGAGGCCCTGTCCCCCAGTCGGTCACAGAGGCGGCTCAGACTCAGCCTCCAAAGCACGTGCTTGTCCCGGACACGGCAGCGGACCCTCCGTCCTCCCTGCAGGCTCCTCCCTGCTCCCGAACCCACAGCACTTCCCTCCCACAGCAGAGACACGGAGACGTGCTCCCCAGTCTTCTCACTCCCACACTGGCCAAACAGGGCCAGCGCCCCAAGTGATACCGCAGCCGTGAACCTCCAAGGAGCTCCAGGTGCAGGGCGGTTACTGTAGGTCACGCCGGCAGGCCTGGCCCCGTGCATCCTGGTGTGGAACTTGACATTTCCAGGAGCCTTTTTTATTTTTATCTCTGCCCCTAGGTAGTGGGCCTTAGGACCAAGGCCAGCGAGGTTGGTCCAGGGGCGATGCCCAGGCTCAGGTGAGTGGAGGACTGCAGTTCCGTGCCTCCTGATTGCCCATCCACATTAAACCCACTGGAGAAGCCCGAGCTCTGGTGCAGCTTGTGTGCCGCGGTAAGGGGTCTGCGCACTGCAGGGCCCCGGAGGTGGCATGGGCCCCAGAGGTGGTACGGGCCACGGAGGCAGGTCAAGGGGTCAGGGGTGGCGTCACCCTACATGGGTGGCAGCACCGTTCATCTAAAAGACAAAGCCTGGGGTTAGAAACCCAGGAATTAGGAGAGGAAGGTGGACAGGGTCAGAAAGGCAAGGAAGGAGGGCTGCAGAGGCGGGAGCACCTCCACTCCCTGAGCTGGCCGTGAAGCGTGACACTGTGTCACCATGACTGCCGTGTTGACAGAGGACACTGCACAGACCCAGGAGATGACGGGGTAAGAAGGTGCACTGGCAGCCCCTCTGTGCTTGAGCGGTTCCCAAGGCTTGTCCTTGAGTGAAACACAGAAAACAGGAACAAAAACAAACCCCCCAAGAGGCGGAACAGCGTTTGTGAGGATTCAGGGAAGAATACCGTGGGATCCGTTTGGAGAAGGCTGAGGTCAGAACGTTGCTGCTCCCCGAGGGGCCCCGGGTGCACAGCAGCAGGGACGAGCAGGCTAGCTCTTCCCTTATATTTCTCTGCTCCCCTTGCATTCTGTATTCAGTGCAGACAGCACATTTCCTATTAAAAATGAATTTAAAATTCTACAAAGAACACGGGCCGCCGCCAGAAACAAGAAGCAGCACAAGTTGTCACTGGGCATCTGAAATGACGCCCTCAGGAGGAGTTAAAGTAATGAGTTACCAGTCGGAGCTGACAAGTTGGCAGACACCAAACCATTCTTAAAACATCGAGACCGGCGTCTTCGCAGAGGGCTGGAAGTTCACAGAGGGCTTCTGAGAAGCTTTAGAGCAGCCGAGGGGGAAACAGACCGGGGCCTGGAAACTAAGCAAGGAAACCGGGAAACAAATTAGATGTCGGCTGCATTCTCCTGCGAGAATAAACTGCCCAGTAACAAAGCAGCGCAAAGGGAGTGGCTTAAAGCAGTAAAAAAAAGTGCTGTCTCCAGGCTTGGGGGTGGGGGGTGGAGGGCAGAAAGCAAAGGTAAGGAAGCTGTGCGTGTCTGGGAAGCTGAGGCAGGAGGATTGCCACACGTTCAAGGGCAGCCTGGAATCCATACCAAGACGTATCTCGAAAGAAGAAAGAAAGAAAGAAAGAAAGAAAGAAAGAAAGAAAGAAAGAAAGAAAGAAAGAAAGAAAGAAAGAAAGAAAAAGGAAGGAAGGAAGGAAGGAAGGAAGGAAGGAAGGAAGGAAGGAAGGAAGGGAGGAAAAAATTGTATTATCTCTGTTTGGAGGCGAAAAATCCAAAATTGTGTGGCAGGTCGGTTCCCTGTGGGATCCGCAGACGGAATGGGCGCCCGCCTCTGCCTGGCTTCGCGGGCTCGCGGCCACCCCACCTCCACGCCTGTGACTGCGTCGAGGCCCGGGCTCAGCCGGCCCTCCTGGAAACCACACTGCGTCTAGATCGGCCACCGGCCGGGGTCCAGACAGACTGCAGTGCTACGCCTCTCACAAACAAGCAAACGAGGCTTCAGTAAGACCCCGAGGGCAACAGCAGCAGGTGCTTCCCCACTCACACACATCTGGAGGGGCACGCGGGCCAGCGGCCACACCTTCGGGACAGGGCTCCACCGAGGTCCTTAAGGGGTTCATTTTGTTAAAGACCCTGTGCCGATGTCAGTTACTGCCGCCCTCCGGCCGGCAGGGGGCGCCGCTCGCCCCGCTCTGCCCAGCCACCGTGCCGACCGGAAGTCCCGTCCCATCCGGAAGTCGCGCACCGGCTCTTCCCCAAAGATGGCGGCGTCCCCGAAGTTGGCGCCGTCTGGCCGTAGGCGTGGGGCCCGCATGAAACGCGCCGGGGGCGGCCCCGGCGGGGAAGGATCCCTGAAGCGGCTCATGCTGGCAGTGGAGGGCTTCGTGCGGGCCACCTCCGAGGGCCAGGCTCCCGGAGGCTGTGAGGGGCGCGGCGCCGCGGTGCGCTCCCGGACGCTCAGGAGGAAGAGCCGCAAGGAGCTGCGGAGGGAGAAGCGGCAGCTGCGGAAGGCGCGGCGCCTGCAGCGGGCGGGCGGACCCGGGCGGGCCGGGG